ATCAGTTGAATTTCAACTGGATTTCAATAAAACAGTCTTGTCCGATAAAGATACAGTTAAATTTCTTGGAATTTACTTCGATAAACACGTCAACTGGGTGTCACACTGTGAGGGGCTAATCTCAAAATTACACTCATACTATTACATGTTCAAGAACTTAAAAACAGTACTAGATGTTGGCCAGCTCGTAAATATCTATTATGCACAAATTGAATCGCGCCTTCGTTATGGCATCTGCTTGTGGGGCATCTCTACCAAGTCAAAAGATGTTTTCATTGCTCAAAAGGCAATTATGAGGTGCATTTTTAACATTCCTCGTAGAGAAACTTGCAAACAAATTTTTCAATCCAGTAATATTTTGACTCTCGCTAGTTTATACATATTTGAGATTGCATGTTATATTTATTGCAACATAACCTATTTCAAACTTAATAAAGACATTCATAACATGAATACTCGCCAGAAAGGCCTAATTCATACACAAATTGGAAAATACAAAGTAGCCCAAAATGCACCTAATTTCATAGGACCACGTATTTTCAATCATTTATCTGAGAATATTAAATCAAGCTTAACACTTAAAGTTTTCAAAACGCGCCTCAAAACATTTTTGGTGCAACATTCTTTTTATACTGTGCAAGATTTCTTGGATTGTCCGGTACAGTGATATTTTATTTTATTTTATTCTGTATTTCGTTTCTGTATATCTATGTATTGTGTGTTTTATGTATTTTTCAAAAATTTTGACGTTTCCGACACAATGTATTATTGTCTAAAGGAATAAAGATTTGATTGATTGATTGATTGATTGATACACTTACACATATGCGTAGACGGACATTCAGTATGAAAAACTTATTTTATATAAAGGTTAATCAACTATACATGTGATACAAAAGAACAGTACTTACCATCTACCATTACCAATAATGTTTACAACATTTCAATAAATTCTCAATTTGAAATAAAAAATAGTCCATTTTATAGAGATTTGAATTATCTCTCTAACAAGGCGTAACTCAACCCTTTGTACAATTTGAAAATGTTGAAGGGGTTGGTCGGTAGGGTATAATGTTGACAGGTGGAAAAAATAGATTTCCCAAAATGAAAATGGACCTGTATGAGGATTTTATAACATTCATTTTTGTTATGGCGATACGAATCTTATTCCATCATACAGTTTATTTTTAGTTTTATTTCAGTGAACTCAGAGCATTTATTAATAATTAAAAAGTTGTTAGATCTTGTTTTTTTCATCTCATATTGATTATTGTTGATAGTGATGAAATCCTACTGATTGTTGGAAAAATCGCCTGGAAGTCCCTGTTTATTTCGATAATCATCATTCATCAATACACTTGTATTGAATACGAAAATACCATTGCTGATAGTCCAATCCAGGGAGATTCTTTCATAAATTAACATTTTCAGAACAGCACCGAAATCAATAAAAAACGGTGGTATGATCAATTCAATGCACAGAATATTTCATATCCTGTAGTAACTCCGTCGAGAACTCCGTTCATACTTGACCTATCCATTAAGTGGGGCTCAATGATTGTATCACATGACGAACAAACCTTTTGTTCAATCTAAATAACTCGATAATTTTTCTCATCAGGTGGAGAAAAAGGATTACTTCTGTTTCATATAGTTCTTGACGTCGACATATTTGAAACAAAGTTCTTTGCCCATCTTCAGCTGCTAAAATACCATCTCGAACAATTATTGGTAACATTTTTATTTTTGTCTTGAGATTGAAAAAATTGAAATTCATAAAAACAATATAACCACTATAACCTCAAATTTGTGATGGCTTTGGATGTTGGATCAAAATCTCATCCCATATTCGAACGCGTCTTGATCGGAGAAAAGAATAGGAAATGAGTTCGACTTCGAGTTCTTCATCGTATTGTACGACAATCGACGATCATAAAACAAAATTCCCCAGGGGGATTCTGTTTCACAGTGATATTCCATGAACTGTGATAATACGAGCTGTCTTTGCTTTGTAATTGTTCAGAAAATTGGAAACCGTCATGTGAGGCTCTATATATCATTCAGAAAATATACCTGTCCAGCCAGAAATGAGGGATAATACGAAAGGAAAGGCTAGGTAAAACCAACATGCTCTAGCGGAAAATGATGGCGTCTACTATTATTCGAATTTGAATATTCCCTATTGTTGAGGTTTCGTTCTCTGAAGAAGCAGACAAATGAAATTCTCTTCAAAGCAAACTGACTGTCGACATATCAATTTAGCCGCCGTCTACATATTCGCCTAGAAAATCCACTCGCTTCTTTATTCTGCATTGTCTCGACCACTCCTTTCCACTAAAACACAAACTCTCCTCATTTGCTCCACTCGGTCCCATTTACCTGAACTTTAGAGCGACATTTGCCATTGCGATCACGGATGTTGCATGCAACAATGTTTGTTTTACTCTAATGTTCAATAAATTTCTTCGCCGGATGGTTCTAGACCGTCTCGCTACCACTTCTGTGTACGTAAATTGTAATTTTATTGCTGTTCATGAAGTAGCTCTGCTATAGCGGGATGGTATTCCTGGAAAGTTATGGGAAAGCCAATGATTATCGGTGGACTTGGATTGGAACTTATTGGATTTTTCATAAGTATCGAAATATCCTGGTCCCTACAGAATAAAATGGTCTGGCGATTTGTTGTTCGTGAAAATATATAGAATTTGCTTGCTAGTACCTTCAGTTGGAAAACTCTATGGAATCAATGACGATATAAATGATAAAGATACAGAGTCAGCTACAAATAATCACGAATTTTTGTGTCAATAATATGAGCATGCAAAAGTTTTTCGACCACTTTTCAAGTATCTGACCGCGAACTACATACTGAAAATGCAAAAGTTCGTTTTAACGTTATGCGAATTCTCAATGTATTTCTTTATATATATATATATCCATTTTTTGGTGTTCATAATTATATCTGAGAATATTATTTACCAATACGTGCTTGTACTTTGTGAACTATGTTTATACTGTGGAAAAATTACATACATATAAACAAAAATAGTGAAAGAAGTGCATATGAAAATGAGTCCAAGAATGCCCCCCTGGGGGGTTATGGACATCTGACGGGGATCCCTCTGTGATAAAATCACCAAATTCTGTTACTGTATCTAAGTTTCCATGCCCGATTTGGAAATGTTGAGAACTTTCCGGTGGAAATAGTGCTTTTTCCTTGGAAAATATCACTTCTTTACATCTACTTTTGATGTTTGATTTGATTGAAATATATGGCAGGTACCCTATTAGGAAAAATTCTATTCTTATTACGCAGCAGACTTTTAAAATCAATATTTTTCTGGTGTGTGCTATCGAAACAAGAGTGCCATTTTTGAGTAAGAATGATTATATTTTTTAATATGTATATTGCTTGAAATCGAGAAGATATCTAGACAAGACTGATACTATGGCAAGATATGAGATAAATGATTGCTACTCGAACTATTTTGAATTAATAAAATAAATAATGTCACATACGAGTAGAAATATGCCTATATAAGAATCCAATAGGCTGATGGTTCCGATACTCATGGTGTTTCCCAATCGCCCCTATTCTCAACGAAAAGTAACCCCAACTGAATATAATCACAATAAAGTTCAGAAACCTCTGCAGCGCCATCAACATTCAATGTTTTTATGTATGATCGTGCGGTTTAATGTTCACAGCCATCAAGCCATCAAGTACATGTAAAGTACATTGTAGGTATTATAGGGTATTCATGCAGATGCCAGATATCGACTTTATTATTTCATAAAGAGGAGAGCTGTAAACGTGTTTTCTCATTACATTCGCTGCGATGAAGTTGATGAAATAACTAATAACAAGAAATTTATGGTCGAACATGGAGCCAAAGATATCAAACGGGATGCTTCATTATGCTGAAGGTTCAGAGATAGCCTGTAACCCTGGAGACTCTATATCAATAATCATTTTTCCTGTGAGCGTGCGCAAAGTAGTACTTTTCTGCACACATTTGCGTGCGCAAAGTCACACGCCGTGAGTATAAGATTTTTCGCCGCACTGAGTGCGAAAAAGTATGTCTACCCAAAAATCTCACCAGTATGGAAAATTCAAATTCATTTTAGTTGCTGTGGACTATTTTATGCAATATAAGAAGCCGTTGCAAGTGTATTCCACTTTACCTTTCCAACAGTATTTGCCGATATTTGTATGTATTTCATTATGAATACAGGGTGTGTGATTCCAAACCGCAACATCCTTCTGATTTGGAACCGATTTACGAAAAGAAAAATTCTATAGTACTCAACGAGCTCTATTCGAGAATGTGCACGAATTTAAAATATTCAGATTTTTAGGCCTGCTTTTGTTCGTTGAAGGGGTCAAAATTTCAAAAACGACTATCAGGCAATTGTTTTTCAAAACTGTGACTAGCCTATTCGATTCAGGCATAGCTGAAATATCTCCACACGAAATTTGAACGCTAAATCCCATATAGAGTGTTAGTTATTCAGTGGCAAATTTTGATATTTATTTTTCTATTCACCCTGTATCAGAATCTACGCAGTTGATATAGTCGGTGAAAAAGTCATTCAATGGAGGGTCACATCGAATACTTCGATACAAAGTTTCATAGTTGTAATTTCTACAAGAATATCTCTCTAGTCAACCAAAAATTGATGAAATTAGAGTTAAAAAATGGGTGCCTCCACCACGTGTAGCAACTCAGATGTTGACCCTCCTATGGGTCGTAACTCAGCTACTCGTTTGGCCTTTTGACTTGATGAGAGGTTTTGATCATCCTACCACCCAACCATGTTCATTCCCAAATAAAGAGTCACGACAATTTTTATATGAGATTGACATGTATTGACTCAATGGAAAAGTAATGAATAAATGCATCCCACATTGCAGGTCAGCTAAAAAAAAACATGGTGAATTACCAAATAAAACACACTGAAAACAAGTCACAAAGAAAACATGAAGAAATAGTACTTACATTATGACGTCTAGCACGAGGTTGAATAGCAGGGATCGAAATCGGGAAGGCGGTGAACATTTTGGCAGCAACTCGTGAATTACTCATTCAATAACGAAGTCAAGTACCAGGTGTGTAATGAATGAGTTATCGACTGTGATATCGAGATGCATTATCGAATGAATGGATCCAAATGATTGAATCGACGAATAAATCAATGACTGAATGCCTTATCGATTCGGGTACTATTTATATTTGAAATCGATCCGCAATGGGAATGGCCGTTATCTGGCGGTATTGCTTACCTTGGTTGTTTCGCACGGTAAGCGTTTTGCAAATATTACAGGAACTGAAGTCTATGAATTCCGGTGACCATAACAAAGAAACCACGCTGTCTGGATGTTCTGATTTGGAAAAGTTAATTTATGATTGAATATCTTGAAATGAACGAAAGTTTGAGAGGTGTTATTCCATAGGCATTTGCCCTACTTAACATTATCAAATAGCGAAATAGTTCGCAAATTAATAACGCTGTAGAACCGATAAATGATTGGCACAGGGGACTTTCGATAAAATCACCATATTTATGTTCTTTCGGGACATTTTATGTCACTTCGTGAAAATATCACCGACGAAATTCGAAGCCCGCTCTTCTACTGAAACATGGGGTGGAGAGGAATCCGATGAAGTGTATCTTACAATTCTGTATACTCTCGTTATAATAACTTCCTCCGAGTGATAAAATGGCAGAAATATATTTTCGCAATTTCAGTTGCAATGTCCAAAGAAATGAAAATGTATAGTGCAAGTGACACTGGAAAAATTCCAGAGTATGAGAAGGCAACCGCACGTTTGGAATTGAACTATATTTCTCAATTATTATCCATTACAAAGTGAGATTTATAACAGCATTCTCCACTTGTTCGTTCATTCTTTCAAATCAGCACGACACTCGACGTTATCTTTGTGAATGCTGTACCGGAAATTGAAAGATTCCGCGGAGATAATGTCATTTTTCAAATTTATAAAATGAAATTGAAAATGATGCATCAATACGAAGGGCGTAGATAGTTTTTTTCTTGGGAGGGTGGCTCGGTGGGAATATACTCGAAAAATATTTAAGTTAAAGTAAACATCAATGCAATAAAGAGTTGGACAACACGTCGAGTGCAACATAGTGCAATAAACAATTTTTGCACGAGTTGCATACAACATTTTTTCTACGTTCATGCAAAAAGCAAAAAATGATTTATTGAGGTGCGGCACTAGGTGTAGGAAAATGAAAAACGCAACTTGAATACTTTATTATTAATATCGATTTGCATTGAAACAGGAACTAATACGTTACGAACAATTTAACTCAAACTTCATTTTTACCCTCAATGTTGAAAGTGAATGAACAATTGGTGCAATTTTCAATATGAATATATGACGTTTCTATAAACACATCAGTTGCAATATAAAAAATGTTTGTCATGATGACAGCACGTTGAAGTAGAATGATAGATGAGTGCAATAAAAACTTTATTGCACTAAGTGCAATGAAGAACTTCTTTCTCCACTAAATATAGTTCAATAAAGTTCTGCTTTTTGCATGAATGTAGCAAAAAATAATTCTAGCATGAAAATATTCGTTGAAAAATAATTATTGAATGTGCTTGCATCTTTCTGAAAATACATGATATACACTGTGTCCATAAAGTCACCCCCCCCCTGGTTAACTATTGAACGGATGGGATTTTTTTTTTCAATTTTTTTTCGCTCCAATAGTAGTTTCAGTGCTATATATTGTTCCAAAAAAAAAATATGTATCCTCCAAAATGGCGCCTGGGCGCCATTCTGGAAGATTTTTTTAAATGGAGTGGGGGGTCGGAAGATACCTCGATTGAAAGGTCTTTCGATTCTCTATACAACCTCAGAATCTCAGACGAAAATATTCATCCAAAACAAAATGGCGGATGATAACGTTTGAAATCTCACACCAGAATTCTTTCGACTAGATGGCTATTGAAGTGCTCGCATGTGATCTTCAAATCTCTATTGGCTTAAAGAAGAGTTCTCTATCCATGAAGATATCAATAGGAAGCCATTTTGAAGAGAATAACATGGTAGTCAATTATACCTTTGCTCGATTGTCTTTCCAAATTCTGCAAAATTTAAGAAATATTTATTCAAAATAAAGAACAATGTTATTCTCTTCAAAATGGCTTTCTATTGATATCTTCATAAATAGAGAACTCTTCTATACGCCAATAAAGATTTGAAGATCACATGCGAGCACTTTAATAGCCATCCAGTCGAAAGAATTCTGGTGTGAGATTTCGAACGTTATCATCCGCCATTTTGTTTTGGATGAATATTTTTGTCTGAGATTCTGAGGTTGTATAGAGAATCGAAAGACCTTTCAATCGAGGTATCTTTCGACCCCCCACTCCATTTAAAGAAATCTTCCAAAATGGCGCCCAGGCGCCATTTTGGAGGATACATATTTTTTTTTTGGAACAATATATAGCACTGAAACTACCATTGAAGCAGAAAAAAAATTGAAAACAAAAATCTCATCCGTTCAATAGTTAACCAGGGGGGGAGTGACTTTATGGACACAGTGTATAAAAATAACAAATTCACTACTAACAACTGAGAAGATGCTAAGAAGCAACATCTAGTCTCTAAATTCACAATTTTTTAAAAGCAAATCACAGAATTAGACTGACAGATATTTGATTACTTGAAAAGAATGATGAAGATGCCTGCAAAACATGAATTTTCTGATTTCAATATAATGTAATATCTTGAAACTTAAAAGTTAGACATGGAAATTTAATTTTGTCAACTTGTCTTCTGCCTATCTATTATACTATTCATAGAAACTTTGTCATTATAATTTTCTGATATCACTTGAGGTCCTTAGATATAATTTCCGATCATGGCCACCTAGATGCAATATTGAAAGTGACCCTGAGAAATGATCCACAAAATAAATGTCTCAGAAATTCGAAAATGTTATAATATACCTATATTGAATTTCATTTTGATACACCGAATATTCTAGAAGTTATGTCTTGTCTATAATAAACTGGGCGTCAATTGAAACGTTAATAGTGAAATTTGGCATCAAGTTTGACTTCTCGTAATTTCTAAAATATTGAACGTATTTTGAATTTTCGCCCAGATTCTGGATGCCTTTTTCATCGTCTTTCGAACCGTTCCTTACAGCTTCTTCTAAATTATTGATCAGGACCCGTGATACAGGGTGAAACAAAGTTTCGTGCATTTTGAAAAAAATTTCTCCGCCCCCCCATTTTGTCAGAAGACCACAATGCTAATATTTTATTCGGGCATTTCATGAATAGCAACCATACCTCGGGACATTTTCGAGTTTCTGCCAAAAACTACTGTGGTTTCCGAAAAAAAATTTTTTTTTGCATTTTTTTTTAAATGGACTAATTTTAGAGAAGTTCCATAAATGGATGCTTTTATGCATTTCAGGAAATCGTTGGAGCAGATATGTATACCAGGTTACTCAAAAACAATCAATAATTTATTACTTCGCAGTCTATGATGAAAGTTTTCTACCTTAGTGAGCAGTAAATCAACACATCTCATCAACAAATACAAACAAGGATACCTTGTTTTTATAACAGCGTATTGTTGAAACAATGTAGGTATGCATAGAGGTTATATCAATTGCCAATTTTCATGAAAACGTCAGTGTAATTCGGGTCCTAAGAATTCAAAGATGCCTCGTTCAAATTGGGTCGAAATGGAAAATATCATTAGGTGAGATCACTATAGTGATATAAAGTATAATTCAGTACAGATAATTATTATTCCAGGTTACGACGATTAGGATATACCCAAACTCATTTAAGTACCATTTTCAATAAGTCAGTCATGACAATAAAGAGACTGATTCATCGTTTTGGTGATACAGGTAGTTAGTCCATTAAAAAAAATGCTAAGAAATTTTTTTTTTCGGAAACCACAGTAGTTTTTGGCAAAAACTCGAAAATGTCCCGAGGTATGGTTGCTATTTATGAAATGCTTGAATAAAATATGAGCATCGTGGTCTTCCGACAAAATGGGGGGGCGGAGAAATTTTTTTCAAAATGCACGTAACTTTGTTTCACCCTGTACCATGGATCCTGATCAATTTAGAAGAAGCTGTAAGGAACGGTTCGAAGGACGATGGAAAAGGCATTCAGAATCTGGGCGGCAATTCAAAATTCGTTCAATATTTTAGAAATTACAAGAAGTCAAACTTGATGCCAAATTTCACTATTAACGTTTCAATTGACGCCCAGTTTAGATTCGTTGACATTGACACCCGCTATGTATAATATAACCAAGTTTGAATTAACTGCTACTTGAAGAATTTATCAAACTCTTCCGATGATGATTATTGATCAAGCCACCAATCAATCCCTCCAGACATAATCACCAATAATTAAGACAAACATTCTGCGAATTCTTGCTGGGAAACTCCTCCATAAAAAGATCGGACATCAAACGGGCGAAATAATTAAAATATCCCCGAGGCGAATGTTGATTGCAGACGACTAATTGCAAAGCAGCTAGACGCAAAAAGAGAAAAACGTGGCCAGTGTCAGTTTATGGATTAGAGGAGTCCGGCCGAACCTTAACTTTGGTCATTTGTCAAAGTCCGGAGGTCGATTAAGACTCTGCCGGAACTGAAATGGCGAATAAAAGTGTGACTCTACGAACCTTGGCAGCACTGGAATTACTCTACAATCAGACACTGATAAGTATCCCCAGTGTCATTATGTTCCCCAGTGATATTATATGTTATTAGTATAATGGGTACTGAAAGTTTTTCCCAAATTCACATGCCATCTCACCAATAGATTACAGAGATTAAAGGTGAATGAATGAGTTTCATCTTGTGAAGATACAAACACGGGTGATTCTGTTCATACTCTACTTATTTCAAATTCAATTTCAACTCTTTTTCAAAAACCAATTGTTCTTCTCTCGAATCAGAATTCATTCTCCTTTCAAATTGTTGTCTGCAGTTGATTATTAATAGCGAAAATCTGTTCAATCAATCAATCAATCAAATCATTTATTTTCCATAACTGACAACATACATTGTATAGGAATAGTCAAAGATACTAAGAAACTTGCGAACTAAAAAAAGAAAAAAAATAGAAAACTTACATACTAA